AAGATTTTTTTGTAATTCTGGGAGGAGAGAGAGAGAGAGAGAGAGAGAGAGAGAGAGAAAAGTCGTATAAAGTAATCTCGAATAATAATAATTCACGGGTTTTCATTCATTTTTAACGTAACATTGAATTTTTTGCCGTGCGATTGGCCTTGGCGAGGACAAAGTCGCAGGATTTATTAGGCATAATGAATTGACCAGCGAATCGAATGAACGGGCGGTATGGAAAATAATTTTGTCTACGCCGCAAGAAAATTCTCGAATTTGCGAATGAATTGGAGTCTCGGCGCCCTAATTGCCTTATAAATAAAGATAAAAATGTATGTAAAAGAAAAAAGTTGTAGAAAAATTAATTAAAATTCTAGTGGAATAATTGTAATTTAATAAAGCCAGCGTGAATTGCGAAAAATACGAGAAAAAAAAAAGAAGGAAAAACTTCAATTAATAATATTTTATCTATGGAAACTTAAAATTTGTTTGTGGAGTATTTCAATATAATATACGTTGCAGCGATTGATATCGTGGAGATATTTTTTTAATTAAAAACTTCCTTTTTCGAAATAATGAAAATTTCAATCGAAATTCAATAGAGGAGTGAACAATAATGTACAGATTTTTAATATTCTTATGCCTTCTCGCTCTTCGATAATCCATCGAATTCGTTATATTCTTCCATTCCGTCTCATTTCATTGTTTCGTTAATGAAACTATGATAATGTAATAGGTAATTTCAGTGGATCAGCCAAGAAAAAAATGGCGCTCGTGGATGTCGCATGTAATGAGACAATTAATCAAACATGTTCCGTAAGCTTACAGAAGTTAGTGGTGGGGTGATTTCTATAACAAATAATCCGAAACTCATTTCGTAAGAACGCGCTTGGAAATATAAAGTTTATTGGTTGTGTATATCCCCCCCCTCTTCCCCCTCCCATATCTCTCTCTCTCTCTCTCTTCTTTCCTTCTCTTTTATTTTCTTTTTTCTTTTTTTTTTTTATTATCTGAGAAACAGCTGCGTACATGCAAGACTCCATCGTGTTCTCTTTCTCCATGTTGACTCTCTTTTTCTCCATTCGCTCGCTAATGTTTGCCCCGAGCACGTTTTTATACTTCGAAGCTGTAGAAAAACGAAATAAAGGAACGAGCTGGAAAAAAGAAGAAAAAAAAACTATTGAAAAGGAAAAGAATGCGCGCATATATTCCGTATTGAGTCTGTATTGCTCGTGCGCGCATTTACGTGAGTGCACGCACGCACGCACGCACGCATGGACTCGAGCGTGTATTATATTACCGCGTTATCGCAAAAGTATATTATGTAAACCGAATATCACAAGGCACATTAAAATAGACTATCAACGAATTTCAAAAGCACTACATCTGGCGAAACGATTGTTATTAAAAGTACAAATATTCGATTGTGAAATGTTGGATGTGAAAGGTCTTATGAATAATGTAGCTAATGTTGGTAAATTAACTCGGAATTTTTTTCCAATGTGAATAAATTTTACACGCGATATAATTATTTGGACTATCCATAGCGTAGGAATGTTAAAAGGATGTTGTTAAAATATTAATAGCTCTCGATGCATAATGCGCTCGAAGGAATGAAATAACAATTTTTAAACAATGACTCGCGTATTCTCTTATTGGTTTTAACGATGACATGTATTTAGCCAAGTAATAGGCACACAGAGGCAAATGTACAGAGAGTACAACGATGCTCTCACACTTGCACTCATGAATCGTACTCGATTCGATCGATAAATAATATTGCTATAATAGTAGTAGTAGCAGTAGTAGTAGTAGTAGTAGTAGTAGTAGTAGTAGTAGTAGTAGTAGTAGTAGTAGTAGTAGTAGTAGTAGTAGTAGTAGTAGTAGTAGTAGTAGTAGTAGTAGTAGTAGTAGTAGTAGTAGTAGTAGTAGTAGTAGTAGTAGTAGTAGTAGTAGTAGTAGTAGTAGTAGTAGTAGTAGTAGTAGTAGTAGTAGTAGTAGTAGTAGAAGTGGTGGTGGTGGTAGTAGTAGTAGTAGCAGTAGCAGTGGTAGTAGTGGTAGAAGTGGTAGAAGTAGTAGTAGTGGTAGAAGTAGTGGTAGCAGCAAGTAGTAGTAGTAAGAGTAGTCTTAGCAGTGGTAGTGCATCGAGTTGGAAATTTTGACCACACCGTTGATAATAATCCTACGTATTTGCGGTTAAGATTTTAAATTGCTCTTAAGAAAGTCATTGCTCACAACTACACTAAACGCGCTTCTCATGCCCGCTAATTTATATTACAAGCACGTACGTAAAGTGCACACGCACGAGGTATTGCCGAGGCTCGACGCAATGGCTTGTGTCCGGTAACCGAAATCACAATACGTTTGTGTATTTTTCAGCCTTTGCATAATGGGCGCGATTGCATCGAGAGCCAGAAATCGTAGGAAATTGTGCATATGATTGTGCGCCGTCTGGAGGCGCATAATTTACGAGACATAACGTACGTTTGATTTTTTTCGCATATCTCGCCGATCTATTGGAATAGTTTAATATTAATCGAGCATAAGGAGGAAAATGTTTCTTTTTACTCCCTTCGAGTGTGCTTATATTTATTCCGGCGATTTAATCTTTGCAAACGTACGATGCGAACATCTCGAGAAAATGTAAGGCACGATTGTGAAAGGACGATTGTGATGCAAAGCCCCGCGTATACATCGAGTGATTCGGCCGGCTCCTACCTAATATCCTTCTCCGGCACAATCGACATATTAATCTCGCAATCTTGAATATCAATCTCGTGGCTTCGTTCGCGAACACGGCTCGACTGAAAAAAAAAAAGAAAAGAAAAAAAGAATAAGGAAAAAAGGAAGCACGATAATTATACCCTTTCCCGCTTCCAAACAGAATCACCCTTGGAACTCAAATGGAGCTCGGATCGGGTTGCGATACCGCCCATGCCGTCAACCTCTAAACGGCACCGTTAATTACATGGGAAGAGAGGAGAGAAGTCGCGCGAACTCGTCTCCCAACACGAATCCCCGCACGTTATGACCGAATCTAAGTCAATGCCGAGGAACAATGTCGCCGGAGACGGAAATTCCATTAGACGATCGATGGGAGCCGAGAGGGTGGATGCTGGACACTTCTTAGCAAGTCGAGCCGATTAATGTATTCGCGACGTCGGGTTGCGAGATGAAATTGCGAGACGAAATAGCCCGAATACCCGAGCTCCTCCTCCCACGTTTTTCGTCCACTTCCTCCACTTCCTTCACTTCCTTGCCAACGCACGCGACGCCTTGTTGTCGTCCCTTTCTTCAATAGCGGATTGGCTCCTGTCGGCTAACGCACTCTCGGTAGTGCTGACCTTTTCTCTCCCAACTCGCCCATTCGCGAGTTGAAATTACGGCTTGTTATTATGTTCTTCGAGTTTCCTAATAAATCTCATTAATTAAAAGATTTTAGGCACAGATTGCCCGGCACCATTAATACATACATACACATATATATATATATATATATATATATATATATAGGCGAATTGAATGCATGTATTTATGTACTTGGGGGGCATGCCTTTTATTTTTATGCTTCTTTGCTTTATTTACATGAGAACAATGCATGTTATCTGCCTCTAACGCGAAATATTCATGTAAATTAGCGCTATGGCGTCCTGGTATTCATCCTACACATTAATGTATCTTATGATGATACATGGATAATTAATTCGTAGCTTCTGTTTCCGCGTTTCTAATGCAATCATATTCATCGCGTTTTCTCGAACCATAATATCATCAGAGAACATCTATTACGCTAAACATAAAATAATAATCATAATAATAATAATAGTAGTAATAATAATAATAATGATGATTGATGATGATGATGATGATGATGATGATGATAATAACAATGATGACAATAATGATAATGATAATAGTAGCGATAGCAACAAAACAACAACAAAAACAGAAACAACTATACTATTTGAAAAGTGCCTGAAATTAATGCAGCGAGGCTTCGTAAAACCCGTAATTATGCAGATCTCGTGTCGATAAGTCGCGCATAATTATTTTTCCCATCAAAATATCTATCCTTTTAGTCATTCTTCACCAATGGCTTTGTTACCACGGCCATTTGCAATCTATTTGCGGATACTTACTGAAATTATTATCTAGATTACAATTAACTTAAAGATATTAAATTTTGCCATTAAATCGAATGGCCACGCGTAAATAATGGTTTGTATTCAAATCCCTTCTCTCTCTCTCTCTCTCTCTCTCTCTCTCTCTCTCTCTCTCTCTCTCTCTACACACATACACACGCATACACAGACACACACGGAGTGAGTAAGAGAGAAAGAGAACACAATACAAAAATCATATATAATGTAATAAAGTGCACGATAATAAAATACAACATTCTAAAAGATTTGGATTTTTTAATTACGTTTTTCGTATGACGAATGAACATATAACCGACAATCAGGAGTCCCCGACTAATCCCTGCATTCGACAATGTTTGCTAAACTTAAAACGATGTGCAAATAAAAGTGCATTATCATCCACCCAGGGCCGCCACCCGCCACTGCGATTTATAAAAATGCAAATCAACGGCTGCGTCTAGCCGCAGCTTCGTAATCTCGGCGCACACTCATTACGGACATCCATCATCCCCGGTACCACCATCGACTTGGAGCTCTCCAAGCCGAGCAGCGCGTGTGCCCGGGAGACTCGGACGCGACGTCCAAGTTGAAAAAAACCATTAAACACGGAATTATCAATTCCATCACGCTCGATTTCCCGTCTATTAACCGAGCAAGAACCGTGATAAAACGGCCCCAAAGTGCCGTCATCGATGACAAATAAGATGTATTAAGTTGGCGAGGGGGAGGGGGGTAGCGACAGTGAGGCCTTATTAGCTATTGGAGTTCTAATTAGCAGCGCGTACACTCCTAGCGAGTTTCCATCCATCCATTACATTCAGAAAATAAAGTTAAACGTTTTTCTCTCGTTTGCCTGTTACAGAGAAGCGAGAACCTCGACCTGTCCCTGAACGTGCCGCAACATCACCAGTCGTCGTACCATCACCATCACCACCACCACGACGGCTATAGCATGGCTGAACAGGTAAAGCGCCTTTCGTCCTCGATGATCTGCGCCTTCTCTCTTGATCGCGTTATTGTAAATTCCTTTTCCTCCTTCTGCTGCTCTGCCCCGTGCTCCTATACTCTCCCCCCCCCCTCTCCTCTCCTCCCCCTCCAATCTCTCCACTTTATTCGTAACAAGGAAAGTACTGAAATTTAACGAAGGGATAATAACAGCTGTTCGTTAATCATTTACTAACGCAATTCTAGTTTTTATCTCCGCCTTTATTTGTCGTACACGCGTACGCACGCACACTTTCCAACCTCTCTCCCACCCTCCCTCTGTCTGTCTCTCTGTCTGTCTGTCTGTCTTTGTCTATATACCGCCCACGCAACCCTCCACCGTCTCTCTCTCTCTCTCTCTCTCTCTCTCTCTCTCTCTCTCTCTCCCTCACTCACTCATTCGCCAAACGGTTTTTTTCCTCTTCTTTTTTTCTTCTTTTTGCCCATTCTCCTTAAGAGCTTGATTCGTGAGGTCTCTATCTCGTTTATTTTCTCATTTGTTCGGTCCGTATGCGAGAAATGCGAAGGAGTTGCTACTTACTAAGCGCATTTCTCCCGGTAGCTTATAGCGAAATATTACGGATAGATTGTAATTTAATTTCATAGTAAAAATTTCTAATTTTTCCGAGATAAATATAAAAGCTTAGTTCTCGAAAGAGATAAAATGAATTAATACCTCGGTTAAGTAAAGCCAAAATACAGGGAATGTAACATAATATTAAAAAATAATAATAAATAATAAATAATAAATAATAAATAATAATAATAATAATAATCTGACAAAGAATTTTTTAAAGAAATTTTTACATATTTCTAGAATCGCGAGAATAGGATTCAGCTTTCTCTCAGCACTTATTACCAAGCAAATTAGATGTTTGACAGTTATGTGGTAACGTATGTGAATAAATGTGAAAAATTATGATTGCTTATTAATTAAGTAACAGGCACAAAATACTCATTGTTATTTCATATCTGAACACATAAGAAAATCCAATTGAAAACTTGTTTGCTTTTTTAAATGCCTACTATTTGCAAGAGTTATTGAAACTGTATTATGACGTCGTGGCTTGATAGATTTGACCAGTGAGACCCGATACCGTAATAACCTTCGATTTGAAAATATTGACTAGTATTAAGCCATACGAAAAAGGAAAAACACGCGCATTGTTTAATATACCAGTTATATATCTTTCGTTACAATCAACTTTTAAACGTAAGATCATGATTGCAGTAACAAAGTTATAAAATAAAATTTTATCTTTTATAGCCATAAGAGACTTTATATTGTGAAATGCTAAAATAAGTTTTGGTTTTACGTTTTTTTTTCTTCTTCAATTTTTATCATAAACTTCGGAGTATTTAAAAAAAAAAATATATATATATATATATATATATATATATATATATATATATAATTTAAAACGTAAACAATTTTATATTTACATCAACGGCGTAATAAAACATTGTCTATACAAAAGGTGAACTATAATTTTATATAATTTTTTCTAAAAAAAAGTATAAAAAGGACTATTTTTATGTAGGCTTGCTTGCATTGTTGGCGACGGGTTAATGAAGAGAGAGGAAAGAGATACAAGTTAATTATCAAATGAAAATAATTTAAATAAATTGAAAATTGAAACATTAAAATTTTTTATTTATTTTTTTTTTTTTTAACAATAATACTCGTAATAATATTTGTTCGCTCTACGTAATAAAATTTTAATTGAAAAATAATTGTTGTTGTTGTTGTTGTTGTTGTTGTTAAATATCTGCACTAAAATAAAATATTGAGTAAAAGTCATTTATATGAAATTAAAAAAAACACTGTGCTTCTGGCATCTTATATAAATATAATATGGAAAAACGACGACCTAACAAACGTTTTTTAATCTTTGTTTCTATTTCTGTAGTATAGAAAATTTGAAACGACTCGTACGTGCATAACATAAAATAAATTATTAATAACTTATGGAACAGAACTTTTTCTTTTTTATATCGTTCGCTACGATCAGTAATACTGTAAGGAAATGTATTTTGAAGTGACTTGGAAAACAAAAAATAAAATAATTTTCTTTTTATTGATTAATTTCTTAATATACTGCATACCGAAAACAGTTTCAAAAGACAAGTTTCTTCTCTCCAAACGAGGCTAATAATAATACATTTATAATTCGTGTAGACAATACCAGACAAAACTCGTGCCAACATTTTTCTCAATCTTGTAAAACTTTTGCTGATTTACCTCATCTTATGCGCACTTCTATTTACTCTACAATTTTTCTTTAATACCTCAAGCGTCTGTAAATTGCCCTTTTTTATTTATTCCCTCGAATTTTAGGAAAAAGTCACAGACGCGGCTGTTTTTAATAAAATGGATATTTGTCTCTACAATGTTTTGACAGAGAACCGAAGAGACAAGAGTCTGAAAGATCTGAAATAAATTGTGAATGTATGAATCGGTGTATTATTGTCTTACCATTAACATAAATTATCCAACGACGTAATAATCCTTTCCTTATATAAATGGAAAAGAGGTTAAATATTTGCATTGATTATAAATTTTTCATTGGTCGTAATGTTTTATTGTGGAAAATGAGCTTCGTGTAGAAATTGAGAATAAAATTTGCACGATCTAACCTATAACTATAATGCCATACACATTGGAACAATTGAATTTTACCGAAAGGCTTTATTTCTTTAAGGGCTTATCATTATATAATTTTCTCCCATACTTCAAATAAATACACAACATACGGCAAAAGATTTTATTTTTTTTTTTTTTCTCATATTTTATTTCATTATTAACGATATAAATACAATACGTTTACAAATGATGAAAACGAGCGTGAAGATGGACGGAAGTACTCGTCGCTCGCTGTGTAACTATCGAATGAATATGAAAGTACTGTTTACGGCGGCACTCTGCCTAACACCCCGTATTTGTCGTAATAGGCAGAGAAAAACAAAAGGTGCATTAAGAACAACTGTAATAACACGAGTAGTACGAGTATAAGAATAAAGGAGATAAAAAATATTCGGCAAGGTTTTTCTTTTGTTTTTTTTTTTGTTTTTTGTTTTTTTTGTTTTTCGTTTTTTTGTTTTTGGTTTTTTTTGGTTTTTTTTTTGTTTTTTTTTTTTGGTTTTTTTTTGTTTTTTTTTTTGTTTGTTTTTTTGTTTTTGTTTTACTATACGACCGAGACATTCCATTGCAGATAAATATTAGTAAAGTAATTTGAAAAACATTCTTATTTCACGAAAATTAACGATCGTGCATTATTATAAGTCGTTAAGAGATTTTTTTAAGTACATTTAGATTATTAAAAGTCGCTTAGCATTGCAGCAGTATTATATTTAGACATACGAGCACGTATTGGTGTAATATTAATGAATAAAAAATCGTCAGACCATGTGGATGATAAAGCTATTTTATTTCAGTCTCGCCGACTCTTTTTTTTTTTCTTTTTTTTTTTTTTCCCCTCATCCCCTACCCTTCCGCCACCATCTCTCTCACTCACTCTCTTTCACTCAGCTATTGAAGCTTACAAACTCTTCATTTGCATTGCAGCCATTAGCAGAAGCGTAGGTTTTCAATCTCTTTAGACTTTGAGATTTTTACGCTTCTAAAAAATTCCATTTCTTTCACTTTTATATCCACATTTCTCTCTCTCTCTCCCCGGCCCCCCTTCCTTTTGTTGTTGTTTTTGTTGTTGTTTTTGTTTTTGTTTTTGTTTTGGTTGTTGTTGTTGTTTTTTTGTTTTGTTTGTTTGTTTTTTAACAAAGTTTATCATAGAACATAACGTTTACAATTATGCATTTGTATACATTTTCGACTTGGCTTGATATAATCGTTAAATTATACGAACCTGCGAATGAAATTGCAATGAATCCGTAAAGTAGAAATCATTATGATTGAATATTTTCCTATTAATTTAAATCGTCAATATTACCGAACAATTATTTACAATTATTTTTATTCCGCTTATGATGTATTAAATTCTAAAATCAATTTTGATTATTTTCGTTAATAAATTCAAAGATTTATTTTTGCGACATTATTAAGAACCATTGGAAAGGACGATGCATATAAATGTTATATTATTCATACGAGATTCTTATTTTAAGCTTTACTTGTGAATAAATCAAACTCATATCGTTGAAATGACAGTAAGCTGTTTCATAATTATATCAGTGTTTAGTCTTCGAAAGAAAAAACGAAAACATGAAACGAAAATAAATTTTGAATATATTTAAAGAACCGAATGATATTAGATAAGCTTTATTAATATTTTTAATGGGCTGCAAATGTCGAGTAAATAAAATTTTTAAATATTACAAATAAATACAAGCTGATTATTTATTTGGTATGTTTACCCTTGTGAATTGTCTTTGTTCCAATGTTCACATGATATCAATGGTTGAACGATTATCCATACAAAATCCTTACAATTACATACAGCTTACAGCTACGTAATATAGAATTAATTTTTTTTGTCTCCTTTAAACGTCATATATTATAATTTAACAATTGTCGAATAATATTGAAGAGCATAATTAATTAAAATACATATAAAGTTTATAATGACTGATATTCTTAATGCATTAAGAAAGAATTGAACAGCTCGGAACAACAGCAAAGATATTCATGTACTTAAGACGAATTTATTCATTCATACAAAATCATACAAATACATCTAAGCCTCTCGATTAAATTTATTAAAAAGTAAATGTGAATAATGCAAATCCATTTTTCTTACAACGCTATGAAAATATGCAAAGAAAATACAAAATTTATACAAATATTTCTTAGCAATAAAACGTATCTTTGACATTTTTAAATACACATATGCATATCGCGATTATAATAAATATCTTTAAGAGTGTGAAGAGACTCGAGGAGATAAGAATCATGAATTAAAGTAACGACACTGAATCTTTCATAAAGATAATTCGTCATACAAGGAAAAAGGGCAAAATATTCTC